GTGACAGAGACAGCACTGTTCCGGTTACGTAGTGCCACTCTAACAGAAAAATGTACCACAAATGGGAGACTCAAACAAACAGGAGTGTACTCTCTTATAGTTTGGGAATCTATTAGCCTGAGTGCAAAGTGCCAGCCTTTAGCGGCTGTGTGAAAGCCCCTCAGTCTTGGCCTTCAGCTCTGCCTCTTGCTCCAGGCACACCAGAGCTAGAGGCGTCTCTCAAGTCAGGCAGCTGCTGGGTGCTGAGGCTGATAAGCCCCAGGTCGACAAGTAAAATGGTACAGTCCCAATATTACCAAAACCACACCGCAGACCATTGATTCAAGTCCATTAAGGGTCCCAAGATCGGCAGACAACATGGCAGGCTGCCGAATAAGGACTTGGTTCCGTGCAGGATTCAAGGGTGCCAAAGGCTGCAGACCGCTCCTCAAGCTGCTTCTTATAGACTGGAAGCAGACCACATCCTTAAGGCAGCTACTCAGCTGCTCCCACAGATTCCACCATGGAGCCAATGACCGGTCTCATCATGGGGAACACTCCATCCAGCTGCCCAGGCACTCAGCCAGGCCCAGCCAAACCGACACACAACCTTTAACTACAACAAGCATGCATCTGACAACAGTGCCACTTGCATGCTTGTCTCTCCCCAGCACCTGCTGCTTCATGATGAATCGGGACTGGACGTGAGGTCTACACGTACGGCCACAGTTGCCCAAAGGGTCCCCTGGGAGTGTGACGGGTGCCATGTCACCGGCTGGGTCCATAAGCTATGTTCACCCACGTGTGCCCTCTCCAGCTGCCCAGGGACTTCATCTGCACCTTGCTTGGCTACAGTTCACCATCAGCTCTATCTTATTACTAGGTCTTCTGGAAAAACCCTAACTCTTGGAGTAACCCTGGAAGCAGGGGCTTACTGTTGTTGCTGTGACCTGCTGTAGAGCCGGCTCGGACCGCACCATGACCCCACGCACAACACAACCAAACACTGCCCGGTCCGGCGCCCAGTTCACCGCCATCGGTCCGCTCAAGGCCGTGGTCATGGTCACTGTGTAGGTTGAGTGTCTTCCACCCTCAGCCTCCAGCATCACGTTGGACAGCAGTATGCTGCGATCCCAGGCTCTCCACCGACTGCTTTCCACAAGCCCGTCTCCAGCCCTTGCTTCCTACAGTCTCAGTCTGAAAGCTCCCCTGAAACCTGGCCACCATGGGCAACCCCGCTGGGGTCTGAAATGCCAGCAGCATAGCTTGTGGCCTCACCGCGACACAGAAGCCACCCCAGGAGGACAGACTGGCAGCCAAGTGGTGGCCTGCCATCATTGCACACGCCGACACAGGGAGGTACAACGTTGGCCTCCAGTGACATGATGAGGGATAGCCTAGCTCCCTTGCTGTGAAGCAGGGCTGGGCCTCTGGTGCTGGGAGGCAGCCTTGCTCCCTCTGTGGCCGGCAGGGGAATGGGGGGGTGGTCCTGGGGATGGGGGGGTGGGGTCTTCAGGCTCGGAGTGGGACGCCTGCATGTGAGCTGCTCCTCCACCCACATCCAGTCTGTAACCAGGGTGATGTACTACTCAACTTCTCCAAGGCTGACCTTCCTCACCCTCCGAGTGGGCTTGAGGATAATGACCCCTGCTGCCCCAGGAACTGGTCCTGAAATCCAGGACTGGGCATGGGGTGGGCACTTACTCAAGTCCACTGAGCACCCCTCGAATTGCATAGGGGTATCATAGTTCCAGCGTCTAACCCGCCCCTGACTGGTTTTGTCACAAGACCCCTGTCTTCACCGTCACCCCAAGTGATGGACTGAACTATGTTCCCCCAATAAAAATGCTCTGAATCCCCATTCACCACCTGTGGATGTCGTCCCAACTGGGAACAGGGTTTTCTTTGTTCTGTTCATGAGAGATAGCAGTGTAGGGTGTGTCTGAAACATCAGCCCTTCTGAAATAACACAAAGAGCAGGCTAGGCTCAGAGAAGCACGCACCAGCGGGTGTGGGGGGGTGTTGATGCCACCTGGAGACCGTCAGGGAATGCCAACAAGGACACCCTAGAAGCCAAGACAAGGACCTTCCCCCACAGCCAACAGACAGAGGCTTCCTCTGCATGGGGTGCCCTGAGTCCAGACTTCTCGCCTCGTGAACTCCCACACAACAAAGTCCTATTGGTTAAAGCCACCCCCTCAGGGTACTTGTGACAGCAGCAGGAGGTAATTAAGACCTCTGTATCTGTGGCCTCAGGAGCACAGGGTCCCGGTTCAAGACGGGCCATCTCCCAGCCAGGAATACAGCAATAAACCACAGTAACGGGGTGGAAGTGGCCACGCAGGAAACACCACGAGTGCTTTGTTACGGAGGAGCCTTGGCAGGAAGACAAGGCCCAGTGCGAGAGCTCTGCCGCCTCCACGTGTCATAAAAAGCACACCCTGTGGGTAGGGAGGGCGGCTGACTTCTCTCACGAAGGTGTGTGGACAATGTTAACGGACGTGAATGCAAAGTCCCAGGAAGAGAAGGAGAATCAAAGGAGACAGACTTGCAGCGCTGTATGTAAAAGCCCGGAAAATAACTAATTCTTTTTATGAATCTTGTCAGGGATAATGTCCCAGTTCCATTTTTGCAAGTATTTACATTTGCAATCCCTTCTGTTCTATTGAGAGCCTTGATGGAACAGTGGTCAGAAGCACTCAGCTGGTAAAAACCCTCCGGCTTCCATGAAGATTGACAGCCTTGGAAACCCTGTGGTGCAGTTCCACTCTGTCCTCCAGGGGCGCTGTGAGTCAGAATCGACTCCACAGCAATGGACTGGGTTGGGTTTTTGGATTTCTGGATATTACGAGTCGAAATTGACTTCACAGCAGTGGGTTGGGTTAGGCTTTTGGATTTTGGGGATATTATGAGTCAGAATCGATTCTACAGCAGTGGGTTGGGTTGGGTTTTGGGTTTTCTGGGATATTATGAGTCAGAATTGATTCCAGAGCAGTGGGTTGGGTTGGGTTTTTGGTTCTCTGGGATATTATGAGTCAGAATCGACTCCAGAACAGTGGGTTGGGCTGGGTTTTTGGTTTTCTGGGATATTATGAAATTACACTGTGAGAGCTAAAAGGAACTTAGATGCTGTCTCATCTGAAGTCTTCATGCAAACATGGTGAACCTGCAGCCCAGAGATTTCACCCAAGTTCTCAGACATGACAAAAGGAAGTACTAGAAAGTTTTCAGCCTTCTTGTTCCTGAAGATGGTCTAGTTTCCTAAGACAATTAAAAAAGAAATAACTACTGCAAACAACTTGTTTTAGACTCACAACAGCTGACCATCATCACATTTGATTTGGTCCTTAAAATATTAAGTTTGTTTAAATATAAGAGTCATTATAGAATCGATAGGCTTCCATTCCACATCTGTGTCCCAGCAAAAGGCCCTTCTTGGCGAGATGGGAGGTCCCTCACAGCACTCAAACTCCTGGCCTCATAGGACAATGAAAATGTCTTGAGGACTCACACAGTGACACAGGGCGAGGATTTTACTTCCTTGCCCTCAGGAGAAGAACGGAGACTAGTTACTGCAGTGACTGTCCTTATCAGGCTGGTGTCTTATAAGCCTCTAGGGCTGCAGGTCCCTAGACTAGATGTCGTTGAGTCAGTTCTGACTCATGGCGCCCCCATGTGGTTCAGAGTAGAACTGGGCTCCAGAGGGTTGTCAATGGCTGACTTTTCAGAGAGAGACTGGTAGGCCTCTCTTGTGAGGCACCTCGGGGTGGATTCCAACTGCCAACCTTTCAGTAAGGAGCCAAGTGTTCAACCCTCCTCATCCCATCAAGAGCACCCTCAGTAATACCCCACAGGGTCTCCGTGAGCTGCAACCAACATGAAGGTAAGAGGTTTGCTTTGGTTTTCAGCTTTTTACATTTCAGAATTAATGTTTGCTTGGTTAACTTTTTAAAAAATATTTTCTGGCTGCAAGGGTGTTGTTGCTGTTGTTGTTATGTGCCATCAAGTCAGACCCGACTCATAGCGACCCCTCGTTGGGTTTTCAAGGTGGTATCACAATGGAAGTAGATTGTCCAACCTTCCTTCCGAGGAGAGGCTTGTGGGTTTGAACTGGCAGCCTTCCAGTTAGCAGTCAAGTGCTTTAGGCACTCCGCCACCAGAGCTCCATTTGAGACAAAGAAATTAACAGAAACTCAAAACCAACTCACTGCCATTGAGTAGACTGTGACTCACAGAGACCCCCTTTGGATTTCTGAGGCTGTAAATCTTTATGGAAGTAGACTGCCCAGTGTTCCTTGCGAGGAGTGGCTGGAGAGTTTGAACCACCAACCTTCTGGTTAGGAGTCAAATGGCTTAGGCACTGCACCACCAGAGCACCTTGAAAGTAATAGGGAATCAGATTAAAGGAACGCAAATGAAGGAAACCCTCAAGGAGATGGGTTGACAAAAGCCGCACAATGGACACAAATATAGCACCAATCGTGAAGACCGGCTGTACACAGAATTGCCATGAGTCCGAGAGCCAACTCGACTGCAACTAAGAACCTATTAAAATATTAAAAGTATTAAAAATATTAACTTAAAGAACCTTTTTGTACTGGTTTGTTCTATTTTTGGATCAGCTATCAATTGCTTTACGAATTTTTTCTATCAACTTCTTGAACGTTTCTGAACCATTTTCAAACGACAAAAACACAAGCCGAACGAGGATAGCAAGGCGTTGTCGCGCTGACGCTGCACACGTCATCAACAAGGGCCAATCGCGAGAAAAGGACATCACGACGCTGAAAACCAAGGAAGCCCCGTGACACAGACACAGCGGCCACCACAATGGGCTCTGACACAGCAAGGACGGTGAGGACCGCGCTGGGCCGCAGCGCTCCCTTCTGTTGTGCGTGGGGGGGCTCTGAGGCAGAGCCGACGCCATGGTAACCAGCAGCAACAAAGATCCGGGGAGGAGAGACTCGCCTGGGTTCACGGCCACGGAGGCCGTGCCTCTCCCGCGCCCAGGACATACGTACCCAGGCTCCAGTCCATCTCCTCAGTGGCGTCCCCGTAGGCCCCATGCTGACTCTTGCCGGTGAAGTTCTTGGAGGAGAAGAGGGCCGTGTGCACGTGCAGGTAGGACAGGACAAGCAGGAAGGGTGACTCGGCGTTCCTGCAAACATACACGCGAGAAGGTTGAGCAGGTGAGCTCCATTCCATGGCAAGCAGCCCTCCACTGCATCACGCCCGCTGACCATTCTGAGAAGGCCACAAAACAGTCCCCAACGCTGGCCTTGTGTTCAGAGGATGCTAAATCTCCACTGGGGCCCTGGGAAGCAATTTAACGAGACCCTCTGGGAATCAGCAAATGGAAGGAGGACATTGTGGGAACATGCTCAGATGTCACCAGACCAAACCAAACCCATTGCCACTGGAGTCCATTCCCACTCACAGCACCCCTGGGGACAGAGTGGAACTATACTACAGTGTTTCCAAGGCTGTCAATCTTTATGGAAGCAAAGCCCAAACCACACACACTGCTGTGAGGTCGATTCTGACCCACAGCGCCCCTAGAGGACAGAGTGGAACTGCACCACAGGGTTTCCAAGGCTGTCAATCTTCACAGAAGCAAAGCTCAAAGGAAACCCACTGCCATGGACTCGATTCTGACTCACAGCGCCCCTACAAGACAGAGTGGAACTGCACCACAGGGTGTCCAAGGCTATAATCTTTATGGGAGCAGATTGCCAGGTCTTTTTGCCATGAAGCCACTGGGTGGGTTTGAACCACTGACCTTTCAGTTATCACCCAAGCACTTTACTGTTGTGCCACCAGGGTTCCTTCTACTATATAGAGTGGGAACTACTAACTATATATAAGAAAACTCCTGACCTAAGTCTCTGGTCATTTTGACGGGATTATCCCCTAAGTCAAATATCTTTACCAGCCACTAACAGTTGTAAATAAGCATTTAGTTAAATCAATTTTGCCTTTAGGAAATGTTGTAATACTTTAACTTCTCATGATAACTGAAAACATTTCAAAATTTGCATCAGGTATTGAGTCACTATGAATTGGATTCAACTGGACGACAATAGGTTTGCTTTTTCTATTGTGAATCTTGGAAGCCAGGTGTCGGGGAAGAATACTGAATAGACCATGGGCATCAGAAGGACACACAATTCTGTCTTTGAAGAACTAGGCCAGAATGCTCCTTAGAAGCAAGCATGGTGAGACTCTATCTTCCATACTTTGGTCATGTGAACAGGAGGGACCAGTCCCTGGAGAAGGACATCATGCTTGGTAAAGTAGAGGGTCAGCGAAAAAGAGGAAGACCCTCAATGGGACACAGTGACACAGTGGCTGCAATGATGGAATCAAACGTTAACAATTGTGAAGCTGGTGCAGGACCAAGCAGTGTTTTGTTCTGTTGAACGTAAGGTTGCTATGAGTTGGAACTGACTTGATGGCACTTGACAACGACAACATTGCAACTGTGATAACTTTACCGCTAATGAACCAACGGATGCCTACTCTTCTGAATGCATTTGTAATATGTGAGTTCTTTCAGCCTGTACAGCTGCGTCTGGGTCAACTTCACAGACCCAATGGCAATAACACTTGTCTTTTAAGGTCAATTCTTGCATTTATTAGCCTCTAGACCTTTGAAACAGAAAGTAAGCACAGAACATCACACTTTGAGTGACAGCTGAGCCAGGCACCTCTTGTTTTCTGCAAGCAGGCAGATCACAGCCAACCAGTCATTGTCCATCACCTGTACAGTGCTTTATAGTTCCACTGCTTGCTGATAAATTATATCACCTTTTTCCCCCTTTTTGTTACAAGAGTATAAAATAAAAGAATGTTGTTAAAATTGCACAGTTAAGGAGCCCTAGTGGTGCAATGGTTAGGCACTTAGATGCTAACCAAAAGGCTGATGGTTTGAACTCAGCCAGCACTCCATGGGGAAAAGACCTGGGGCTTTGTTGCCACAAAAATTACAGCTAGGAAACCCTGTGGGAAAGTTCCACTCTGTCCTCTAGGGGCGCTGTGAGTTGGAATAGACTCCATGGCAATGGGTTTGGTTTGGGCTTTGCTTCTATGAGGATTGACAGCCTTGGAGACCCTGTGGTTCAGTTCCACTCTGTCCTCTAGGGGCGCTGTTAGTCAGAATTGACTCCATAGCAGTGGGTTTGGTTTGGGCTTTGCTTCTGTGAAGACTGACAGCCTTGGAGACCTTGTGATGCAGTTCCACTCTGTCCTCTAGGGGCGCTGTGAGTTGGAATTGACTCCATGGCAGTGGGTGTGGTTTGGGCTTTGTTTCTGTGAAGATTGACAGCCTTGCAAACCCTATGGAGCAGTTCCACTCTCTAGGCTCTCTATGAGTTAGAATCAACTCCACGGGATCCAGCAACAGTAACAATAACATAGTTCTCCCCATTATCTTACCTCCCATCCCCACCGCCAAACCTTCTAAAATCCCATCATGTTACATAGCATGCGGGGTTGAATTATGTCCTCTCAAAGATATGTTCAAGTCCTGATCCCCGGTGCTTGTGAGCACGCCCCTATCTGTAAATAGGCTCTTTGCAAATATGGTCAAGTTAAAATGAGGCCATGTGGCAGAGGACAGTCTGTTCCCGTAACAATTACAGCCGAGGAAACCCAATGGGCAGTTCTGCTCTGTCACATGTCACAGAGTCACCATGGCTACAATATCGACCTGATAGCATCCAACAACAACAAGGGAAAAAAAAAAAAAAAAAGGTACTAAGTGGCTGGTCCTAACTCCTACAATAACTGGAACTAGAAGACATGAGATTGGAACGTGCCATACCCAATCTGTACCGTTATTTCTCAGAATGAGCAGAAGAAAGGCCTGGCTGGCAGTCGTCACCCTTGTTCATGATCCATAAGGAACAAAGTCTACAGAGGCAGCCTGCTGGCTACTTGTCAGGAAAGGAGAGGTGGCATGGAGGAAGCCAGAACCAGAACTAAGCCAGGCTGTGCCAAGGGATGCTGGCCACACTCAGCCTGCTAAGGCTCTCTCCTGTGGTCCTTCCCACACGCACACCATACTTCCAGCTCCTCCTCGAGATGCATGCCACGGGCCTTAAAACTGGCTTCGAGTCCTGAAAGCAAACTTTAAATCGCACTCTTTCTGCTTGTTCCTAAGCACACAGTTATATTATGCATGGGGACAATTTCACTGCCATTTCTCTCCCATCTGTTCTCCCATTTATTTTCAGATCTAAGGTTGGAAAAAAAAAAAAGAGGGACACTTAGAAAGTCAATCTTCTGAGCATGGAATATGGTCATAGCTGGAGACACAGGGTGCAACTGGCAGGATGTGCTCCAGTCTGGGGCCAACTGGGGTGACCATGTTGGAATGGCAGCCAGCTTTCTTGCCCAAGAAAAAATGATAGTTTTAATTAAAGGAAAAAAAAAAAAAGACAAGAGGACACAGCTAACATTATTGGCAGAACCACAAGATGGGGCACACAATGGAGAAGTGGGGGGAGGAGGGAAACCAATGTAGATGATGAAAATGCTACAACAAGACAAGAAGTAAGCCCAAGAGAAACACTAAAGTGAGGTGGCCAGACGTCGTCTCACCTACTTTGGTCATGTTGTCAGAAGGGCCCATTTTCTGGAGAAGGATGTCATGCTTGGTACAGTGGAGGGTCAATGAAAGAGGGGAAGGGCCTCAATGACATGGGTTGACACAGTGGCTGCGACAATGGGCTCAGGCATAGTAGGGATCGTGAGGTCGACAAGGACGGGCAGTGTTTTGTTCTGTTGTGCATAGGGTCGCTATGAGTCAGAGCCGACTCGACGGCACATAGCAACAACAACAAGATAAACGCCAGGAGTCTCTCCGTGACACACATGGTTAGGCACCTGACTACCAACCAAAACGCTGCCAGTCTGAATCACACAGAAGTACCTCAGAAGATACACCTCGCAACCAACTTCCAAAAGGTCACAGCCTTGAATACACCATGGGGCAGATCTCCTCTGCACACATGGGGTGGCCATGCAGCAGAATCGACCACAACTCACAACCACAAGATAAATCTGGTTGACAGTGAGCTTAGTAAAAGGAAGATGGAGCCAAAGACCCCTGCTTCGGAGTTCCGTGGTGGCCCCGGAATGTGGCTCTCATCTTCAGATGGCGGACAGCCTTTGCTGTGAGGGGATGGTGGTGGGCGTGTTCATGCTGATAAAGTGCACATCTTTATAGAGTTCTTCTTCTGTCACCTCTCTAGAGAGCAGCACATTTGTCACTCCGTAGACAAGACATCACAGACACCAGCCAAGGTCCTGGATGTCAGAATAGAGTGATTAGGTTTTATATACAGAAATAAACCCGGGAAGCACGGAGACCCCGGCTTGCAGAAAGCCGGCACAACATGGAGATTTACCATCCAGGAAGGCAGGTCTGAGCAGTGATGCGTGAGCATGTGCGCCAGACAGGCATAAATCTTCCACCCCTGCGCGCGGCCTGGAGTGGACCAACAGCTCGCTTGCAGGTGGCAGTACCGTCCTTAGCAGAAATCTTCAAGAGCGCACAAGAGGCCATTTCACCATGGCCAGCCTCGGCGAGGACACCAAGCTTCCCATCGTCCCTGTGACCTTGGACGTGGAAACACCTGCATGAGGTGGTAGGAGGGGCACCCTCTGTAACAGCTTAACTCCTATTTTATTCTCTGCAGCTCTTCAGTATACAGCTCTGTGGAAAATTTATCACCACTGTCTTGCATGCTGCAGGCAAAGGGAGAGCTCTCGGAGGCTCCATGTCTTCACTCCACCTGTTAAAATACAGAAGCAGCTGCAAGCCTTCCCGGAAACACGCCCTCATTCCAACCTCAGGGCAGAAAGATTCACATCCTAGGGACGTGGGACACATGGAGGAAGGCGGCAGCAGTACGGTGGTTTTTTCCCCTTTGCAGTCTGTCATGGGCAGTATTTTGAATGTCTTGAGTATAATATTCCACATGGCACTGGGTGGTGGCTTGTACTGTGCAACTGCTGTTCCAGTGCTCTGTGGTACACAGGGTCACTATGGGGCGGAGCTGACTCTACGGCACCTAACAACAACTGTTCCCACTTGAGTGAGCATAGGGTATAAGGCACATGCAATTCAGGACGTCAGGGGACTCTTGGGGCAAGCGTTCTGCTGCTGGGAATGAGGTGTGGCCTAAGACACGTGATGGTGTAAGTGGGCCCCAGCCAGTGGGCTCTGTTCCTGTCCTGCTCTGCAGACAGACTCCAAAACCCAGTTATGTGTCTCTTCCGCCACATCTACAGAATAACTGCTCTGCTAGA